TCTCTCCCCCTCCCTCCCTCTCTCTCTCTCTCCCACACACACACACACACACACACACACACACAGAGTAAACCCATTTCCTCCACGGACTGGAACAGGGCTAGTTAAGCCACCATGAATCCAGCGTCGAAGGGCCCCTATTGGCTGCCTATCAAAGATCCCATGGTGCCTGGTGAAAGGTTTCGGGCAGCTTTAGGATCCTCAGGATCTTGCTAACTCTTGAGACAGGTTCTTATCAGGGCAACTTGGTCTAGCCAAAGATGAGACGGAGCACGTACTGCTTCCGCTTTCTCCTTCCAGCCCCAATCCAGGGTCCTTTGCAGGCAGTCGCTTTCATGACAAACTGTTTTGGTGTTGAATTTATATTTTACCCACAAAGAAGTAGACTAGTCTAGATCTGTTTCAAGCTATTTAGCTCTCGTCAGCTAGCCATACCCTTTCTGGGATTCGAACCCGGGCTACTTTTGCATATTAGGTGGATGTATTGACCTCTAAATCATGGGCTCTCTTTGCTTTGTCGGCTATACCAGGGGAGAGATTAAGTGTTCTTTTCCTGGTGAAACCGGTCCATCAGGGCAACCTGATCTACCCAAATATGGGACGGAGCACATACTGCTTCCGCTTCCGCCTTTCAGCCCCAATCCAGTCGCTTTCGTGACAAACTATGTTTGTCTTTAAGTTTTACCAACAAAGAAGTAAAGGGAGACTAGTATAGATCTATTTCAAGCTATTTAGAGCTAAATAGCTTGAAATAGATCTATACTAGTCTTCCTTTATTTATGTGTCGGTAAAATATAAATTTAACACAACTTTAGATTGCATCTGAACATGGCAGTTGCGTCCTTCTCTTTAAGACTAAAGGACAAGATGGGTGGACTAAGAATCCATCAAGTTCAGGAACTCACATACCATAAAATCCAGTTTGTTGCTTCTGAGTGTATCAGCGGTTACCCAATAACATACATTGTTCAAAACTCTGTGCTGCCTTTGATCCTGAAAACAGCACATCACCCTCAAGCGTGGCTAGAAATGCACAGACTTTGCCTCCACTGAGCTAGTTTTAATTTGTTTTTTTCAGAGAAATGTTCCCTGCCAGAATAGCCAAGACCATTGCTTAGTCAGTAGATGAGGCTGGTGGCAGGTGCGTTTTCTCGTTACTGGATCGTTTCGGGAAAAGAAAAGACGCATTTAGGGGTGTGGCAAGAAACCGCTGTGGCTGGTCTTTCAAGGAGTTTCTCCTTTGAGACATTTAGCGGAGAAGTGGTTGTGTGTGCCTGGCAGCTGCCGTCCCACTGAACGCGGGGGAAGCAGAGGGGAGCCAAGCTGCAGCCTTGTTCCAGGCCCCATGCGTTGCATTGTACGTAAGAATTTCTTTCTCATTTAAGAGGAGGAATGGGGTATCCGCAAAGGGGCGTGAAAGAGCAGAGGCTGCTTTCCTGAGGCATTTCACGGAGGAGACGTGGGTTGGCTCTGGGCTTGGAAGGGGGTGCTTTGTTGTCTTCCATCAATCACCAAGCCGGGAGTGTTTTGTTCTTTCGATTCTCTTGTGAAATGCCTCTTCTATTAGTTCAAATGCATCAAGTAAATATTCCAGCCACAGGATCCTATGCTCTTGGCATCCAAAGACAACAGGGAGGTATGTGGCTAGGATCAGGGTTAGCCTCCCTGCAAACGTGTCCGCGGGCTGAAGGTTCCTTTCGCCCTGTTCTCCCTCAGAAATGGAAGCAGCTGTCTCGCCTTCAGCGGAGCATCATCCTCTTCCTTTTTGCCTTTCTGGTTGTCTGTGGAATCAAGACGTATGCAAATATGGCCGACCCGTGGAAAAGTAAGTTTCTGCTAGTTTTTCTTCCTTCAGTTATTGTTGCCTAATAGAAGCCACTTGCTTTTGAAACAGCGAAAACCACAACCTTCCATCTCGTCTACTCAGGAGCACCACCTGTCTCCGGAGTTACTTGGGACTTATTTTCAAATAAAAGGTCATTCTACTTTGTGGTGCTGCTGTGACAAATTATGTTTAGGAATTAAAATGTGTGTCCCAGCTTTTCAAGCTACTGTGTTCCCAAACTTCCAAGCATTGCTTTCGTTGCATATTTTTTTAAAAAATTTGTATGGAAACAAGAAGATTTCACAGAAGGAAATGATTTAGTGTTTTTTTTCTTTAACAAACCGTAAGTGTTAGCACTGCTCTCAGTGGCTGGTTTCACCCCATTGCATCAGGTTCCTTGCAATTAATTTCTCTGTGCAGGTGCAACCAGCAGATCTTTGGAGGAGCAGAAGGCTGACCTTGAGATCCCTGGATTGAATCCAGCAAATCAGGCGATTCTCCCGATACCCCAGAAAGCCGATGCCAGTCTCAGGGACTTTTCACCTCAAGTAATTCCCCCTTCCTCAACCCACCCCCCAATATCATCTTATTGTAAGCTTAGGGGCAGGTTAGAAGCCTTTAGGCAGCTCAGCCGTATCTGGCTGTCCTTGTTTATCAATCTGGCCTTTGAACTTTTCTATCTGGAAGGACTTTTTGTAACCGGACTGATGCCCGTCAGACCAGCCTTTGCTGACTGAACTGTGTCACCTACCTTGGGCCAAGTAGCGGTCCAACACAGCTGGAGGGATTCTCCTTTTCCCCCCCTGCTTCCTTTGAAGCATTTAGGTTTCCAGCGGTGATTTCTCCACTCCTGCCCACGAACCGATTCCCTTGTTTGTTTGTTTTTCTCCAGAAACCTCCGAAACAGATTCCTGCCCGGCGAGGGCCTCCGAATCTGCAGATCCGGCCCCCTTGGAGGGAGACGGAGGCCAGGTCCCAGGAAGAAGCTGTCAGAGCAGAGGGAAAACCTGGCCAGGCAGGTCAGGGGCACAACCCAGCTAAGGCCGTCATTAGGTGAGCTGCTTGCTTCTCTCCGTTTAGCCTCGGACTGTTTTGGGCTCGGACTGTTTTAGTAATGTAGGAAAGATGGGGCGCTGGACAAGCAGGTTGAAGGTGTCACCTCCAATAGAGGTCTGGTCTGGGGACCCCAGGAGCCGTGCCCACAGAACGCTCTCCTACGACCGGGATGTGTGTGTGTGTGTGTGTGTGTGCCATGAGTTGTAGTGTAGTGGATGCCCACAGAGGAGGGAAAGCAATAATCCTCTTTCTGCAGTTGGAGAGGAGCCGTGATAGAGCCCAACCCGAGCCCCGAGCCGCCTTCCAAGAAAATAAACCACCCAGGCAGGCCTTCTGCCGTGGCATCCGAAGACCAGAAAGAGCCAGGTAGTGGGCAGGGCTCAGCTTAACCCAGATGGCTGCCCGGAGGGGTTGGGGGACGTGTCTTTGCTGGTGTGGCAGCCCACCTTTTCCTGATGCCTCAAGAGCGTTTTCCCTTCCTGTTTCAGTGCCCCTCAATAAGCGGCAGCTGGCTGTGATTGAAGCCTTCCGCCACGCCTGGAAAGGTTACAAGGAGTTTGCCTGGGGCCACGACGAGCTGAAGCCCGTCTCCAAGACCTTCAACGAGTGGTTTGGCCTCGGACTGACGCTCATCGACGCGCTGGACACCATGTGGATCTTGGGCTTAAAGGCAGGTCTGTGGCCTGGCCTGTCGGTTTGCTCGGCCTTCCTTCCCACCCCCAGGGGGCATCTAGAGAAGGCTGCAGGCAGAGCAGGCTCCCTTCTTTCTTCTCAGCCTTCGCCCGCCCACAAAAAACATCACCCTTGTTACGTTGAGGCAGCTGTCTCTGGGGGGGGGCGCCTGTTTGCAGAGGGAGAGGGAGGGAGGGAGAGAGAAAGAGAGAGAGGGAGAGAGAAAGGGAGAGAGAGAGAGAGAGGGAGAGTGGGAGAGAAAGGGAGAGGGAGACGGAGGGAGAGGGAGGGAGAGAGAGAGGGAAAGAAAGGGGAGAGAGAGAGAGAAAGTGAGAGAGAGAGTGGGAGAGAGAGAGAGAAAGGGAGAGAGGGAGAGAGAGAAAGCAAGAGATAGAATGGAAGAGAGGGAGGGAGAGAGAAAGGGAGAGGGAGAGAGAGAGAAAGAAAGCGAGAGATAGAGTGGGAGAGAGGGGGGAGAGAGAAATGGAGGGGGAGGGAGCGAGGGAGAGAGAGAGAGAGAGAGAAAGCGAGAGATAGAGTGGGAGAGAGAGAGAGAGAGAAAAAGAAAGAAGAAA